AGTTTTTGATTAAGTTTTTCCAGATTAACCTTCAGCTTATCTTTCTTTACGTTACTTGAAGTCTGGAGTATGATGGAGCGGGTGACAGGGAACTTTATTTTGGTTCCCAGGAGAGCAATGACTCGTTCCCGGACTTTGTCGTCGTTAGGAATAACACATCTGTAACAGGATGTGCTGCGGGTTATAGGCGAGTTACCTAGACAAGATTGGTGAGTTACCTAGACAACATGAACTAGTTACCTAGACAAGATTGGTGAGTTACCTAGACAACATGACGTATTAGTTACCTAGACAAGATTGGTGAGTTACCTAGACAACATGAACTAGTTACCTAGACAAGATTAGCGAGTTACCTAGACAACATGACGTATTAGTTACCTAGACAAGATTGATGAGTTACCTAGACAACATGAACTAGTTACCTAGACAAGATTGGTGAGTTACCTAGACAACATGACGTATTAGTTACCTAGACAAGATTGGTGAGTTACCTAGACAAGATTGGTGAGTTACCTAGACAACACAAGCTTATTACCTTGGTAGCATCGGTAAGTAACCTTGTGAAAATAAGTGCATTTTTTCTCATTTACAAAAAAGGGGACAGGTAAGTTATCGTAATTTTCATTGGTGAATAACCCTGACAGAAATTTGAGTTTTAACTTCAGTAAGTATTGAGCGAAGTAATATTTAAAAAACTGATAAAACACAGAACTTAAGCGAGTTGTAACCTGGATCCAGCACAGAGCCCTCTACACTCGATATCCCTGATGCAGTGATACGCACAAACTGGTTTACAGCTACTCTTACAGTCCACCTCACAGGCTTTCAGTGCGGCGTCCTGCTGCTGGGCTGTGTAGTGCTCACACTTTGATAGGAAATCTGAACAGAAGGACCATCATGCTAGCAATAAAGGAGATTTGTTGTTGTTGTCTCATTATCCGAGAGTAATGGAACCATTTACACTTAAAGAGGGAACGTTTCAATGTTAAATGCTTGTAAGACTTGAATAGGTAATGGTGAGTAAACCGTAAAGAGGTTTTATTTATGAGCATATTTTAATATTCAGGCCCTTACTAGAATGTTTAACGATTCAGGGGACACTGGTCAGAAGAATGGGCTAGGAAATAATAAACACAATACAAATCAGCATCTTAAAATCTCTACCTGAAGTATCCAGATCAAGATCTAGAGATGTCATGAGCGTTTCCAGCTCCTCACTCGTGAACTCAGAAGAGTCTATAGTGATCGGGGCTGAATCATCCGCTCTTGTTATCATGCTCACCTTACCGTCCGAGGACGAGTCAACAGAATCAGGTTGGGGGCAGAGTGTGGCTACTTTTTGACCAGATAGACCTATCATGTCTGTCTGGTCTGATATTGAACGGTTAACCGGGGGTCTCTTTACTTTTTTACTGCTTTTTGTCCAGCTTTTGTTGGAGGAAGGGCGACAGTTTTCTTCAAAGTCTTTGACGTTTCCGTGGTAACTGACCTTGTTTTCAACTTTTGTTTTCCATTTCGTTACTTTTTTGCCGGAGTCCCCATGACTAAACTTCTCGACCAGTTCTATTGTGGTAGATTCCGCTAGATTATCATTGCAATGGCCAACCTAATAAAGGAGGGGTTCATCAATACTTAATACTCGTTCATGTTTCAAAACGATATCATATTAACCTGTTCAATAGTCCAACTAACTTAAGTACTAACAAAGTGTACCCCGGAATAATTTGGTAACTTATTAAATTTAATATTAAATAATCAAATAATTAATATCAATACAAATAAAATAAGTTCGAATCTTTAGCTTTAAGTTTGACTAATGACGATTATTATGTTAAAGATGAAATGCTACAAATACTTTTAGCTGTCAATAACTAACCTTGTTCCTCCCTGATTTTGATCTCAGATCTGCCAGTTTGTGAGTTTTCTTCTTGGCACTAGCTCTAGTAGTGGGAGGAGCAGAGCTGATGTAGTTGGCAGCACTCCTATTTGGAACAGGAGAAAGTCTGGAGGGAGGGGGACGTCCCGGGGTAAACAGCCCTTTTATTGAGAGCTTTCTGGTGTATTTAGCGATACTGCCCCGGGCCTTGGTGTAGTTACTGACCCGGATCCTTTTGTCTGTACGAACCTTGGGTGCTGACTTTAGACGAGCGATTGGTGGTGATTTAAACAGTTTCCTATCCATCTTAGCGGAGAGGGTGTCAAGCTGGAGATTTATCTGAGAGAGTCGAGGGTTTGACCGATTGTTGAGACGGCTACTGAAGTCTGGCAAAACCATCGGCACTGGCCGCGTTGAATGATGAAAGAATGCAGCCTTGCCAAGAGTTGTGACCTACTGACGTCTAAAGTACCACCGGCTGCGATCGTCACGCCAGCAGAGTCAACCAGTTTAAGTGTTATGTATCTAACTTTGATTGAATTAGTTTTAGAATGCATGACAACTGCGAGAGGAAGTTTGGGAGCGTGATTAATGAGGTGTGAGAAATCGGTAATTGGTTTTATTCATGAATTTTTGAGACATATCTATGAAAAGGATAAACTGCACGTCGAAAGCTAAACTGCAGCTTTCGGTCATTCATTTCAACTATCTTGGTCATTTCCAAAGAATTTACTCATTGTCGTAAATCATACTATCAACTATGTACGAAAACGTTTCGTTAAAGAGCATTTTTACATATGTTAACTCATACCATATTGCCGGAAAGATTCATTGTCATGAAACAACCATTACCAATATGCACCGTTACTAATACTGTATTCAAAAAGTGTCAACTTAATTTTGGCAATATCTTTCCTTCTTCAGGGCTGAAGTATGACTTAAAATATGCACTATGGGCAGAAACTAGCACCAGTGTTTGGCAGCTGTATTTCCTGGATGATGCTTGAACAAAGGGAGCATTCTAGCAACAAACAATGTAGTCATCAACTATCAGCAAACTCCAAACATTCGCCATTCAGGACACAGTTCTGTTGCAATTGTGCCAATCAGAGACTTTCTGAATATCACGAGGATAAATCTGCTGACTCTCCAAATATACCCGGTTTCAGTCATGCATTATAGTGCTCACTATTTCGGCCTGTATATCTTGACAAACCTTTAGATTACATTTCAACCCTATATGGTCTACGCTTCATCCTAAAATCGAATGCCTTTGACCCATTTTGTGGTAGGAATGCAATTTTTCATTCAACCGATTTTCCTTGTATTAGTTCTCACAAAACCGAGGTAATCTTATTTTTATAAGATTTAAAATTAAACTCGAAACAATTTCTCAAAACAGTATAGATTTAGTGATTACGCAATACATAACATCGATTAGATTCCTTAAATCTGTCACCGTCGATTTTAGAATCGCCCTAGCACTCTGAAATTTGACAAAACCAAGCCCTGAAAAAGTAACCTCCCATTAAATCGACTGTCGCAGCACGGGATCTCTGTTTGACCTGGACTGGGTGCAGAAAATAAACACGAGGACACGTGATGAAGGCGTGAGGATGCCGTTTAACCGAGTGGTAGAGCGAGGCCGGGACGGGCCCCGGGGGTGTGTCGATAAGATACCAACCTGTCACCACTTCATGGTGGATTACGATGCTTGTAGTGCTGACTCTAAATACTTTGAGTTTATTGAGCCCAATTGTATGGCTACATGTGGTCTTTGCTCTTACGATCAAGGTATATTATATAAGTTATAGTTAACAAGGTATATTATATAAGTTATAGTTAACAAGGTATATTATATAAGTTATAGTTAACAAGGTATATTATATAAGTTATAGTTAACAAGGTATATTATATAAGTTATAGTTAACAAGGTATATTATATAAGTTATAGTTAACAAGGTATATTATATAAGTTATAGTTAACAAGGTATATTATATAAGTTATAGTTAACAAGGTATATTATATAAGTTATAGTTAACAAGGTATATTATATCAGTTATAGTTAACAAGGTATATTATATCAGTTATAGTTAACAAGGTATATTATATAAGTTATAGTTAACAAGGTATATTATATAAGTTATAGTTAACAAGGTATATTATATAAGTTATAGTTAACAAGGTATATTATATAAGTTATAGTTAACAAGGTATATTATATCAGTTATAGTTAACAAGGTATATTATATAAGTTATAGTTAACAAGGTATATTATATAAGTTATAGTTAACAAGGTATATTATATAAGTTATAGTTAATAAGGTATATTATATCAGTTATAGTTAACAAGGTATATTATATCAGTTATAGTTAACAAGGTATATTATATAAGTTATAGTTAACAAGGTATATTATATAAGTTATAGTTAACAAGGTATATTATATAAGTTATAGTTAACAAGGTATATTATATAAGTTATAGTTAACAAGGTATATTATATAAGTTATAGTTAACAAGGTATATTATATAAGTTATAGTTAACAAGGTATATTATATAAGTTATAGTTAACAAGGTATATTATATCAGTTATAGTTAACAAGGTATATTATATAAGTTATAGTTAACAAGGTATATTATATAAGTTATAGTTAACAAGGTATATTATATAAGTTATAGTTAACAAGGTATATTATATCAGTTATAGTTAACAAGGTATATTATATCAGTTATAGTTAACAAGGTATATTATATAAGTTATAGTTAACAAGGTATATTATATAAGTTATAGTTAACAAGGTATATTATCTTCCTGGTGGATTACGATGCTTGTAGTGCTGACTCTAAATACTTTGAGTATATTGAGCCCAATTGCATGGCTACTTGTGGTCTTTGCTCTTACGATCAAGGTAGTTAGGGGGGGGGGGGGATCCAGGTATATTATATAAGTTATAGTTAACAAGGTTAAATTTATGTAGGGCCAAAACAATGCACCACTTTAAAACAATGAATGCTTTTTCTTTACCAGGAATTTTTTGTTGACTAGATCGGTAAAAGTTTTGAACGGTCCAAATTATGCAGAGTAAGAGAATTGTGCACGCTTCGTTGACTTGTGTGTACATTATAACCGAGAGAGAGTAGCTATGGGAGTGAGGGGTTGAGAGTGAGGGGTTGGGAGTGAGGGGTTGGGAGTGAGGAGTTGAGAGTGAGGGTTTGGGAGTGAGGGGTTGGGAGTGAGGAGTTTAGAGTGAGGGTTTGGGAGTGAGGGGTTGGGAGTGAGGGGTTGGGAGTGAGGGGCTGGGAGTGAGGAGTCGAGAGTGAGGGTTTGGGAGTGAGGGGTTGGGAGTGAGGGGTTGGGAGTGAGGGGTTGGGAGTGAGGGGTTGGGAGTGAGGGGTTGGGAGTGAGGGGTTGGGAGTGAGGGGTTGGGAGTGAGGGGTTGGGAGTGAGGGGTTGGGAGTGAGGGGTTGGGAGTGAGGGGTTGGGAGTGAGGAGTTGGGAGTGAGGGGGGTGAGGGGTTGGGAGTGAGGGTTTGTGAGTGAGGGGTTGGGAGTGAGGGGTTGGGAGTGAGGGGTTGGGAGTGAGCATCATGTTAATCGATATGAGTTAGTTAGATGGTTAATCAACCAGTTTAAGTCGACAAATACTTAATACATGTTTATTATATTGTATTGTATAACTATAAGTACCGAGTTAAAACCAGGTGTTCACAGTACTGCAGCAACTGTTGGCATGACAACAGCGACTGTTCATGGCATGATTCACAAAAACTCACAAAATCATAAATTACACATTTACTACTCACGCTAGTCAGGGGGCAAGACGGTTGGCCAAGCTATTCGCCATATTCACTGTTCATGACCACTGTACCGTTAAAACGTCCTAATTACAAAAACCGCTAACTTCAACTTGATCGTGGTTAACTCCAACCAAGTCACCTGCCCTCCGCATGCAATCCAATATCCTTCCCAGATTGTAGCAACAACATAGGCGAGCAGTACTGCCAGTTCTTTGACGAGAACTACTCCGCATGCAATCCAATATCCTCCTACTTCTACTATGTCAGTGCCAACTGTAAGTCCTACTGTCGCGTTTGTCCCTACCACGGATCTGTTGGTAAGTAACTTCATGCCCACTAACTGTCGACAGATCTTGTCCGGCAATCAGATTGAAAAATTTCCTAACCGATCGAAATAAACTTCAGTTTTATAATTTCCCAAGTTCGACAGATAATTTTAAAAAGATACGCCACAAAATACCGAAATTTTTAAAGAGTCTGTCTAACGCTTGGCTGTGTCCCACGTCAGAGTTTTGCGAGGATTTTGTCTCGAAAGAAGACTGTGAGTTTTTTAAAGAGCAGTACGATGGTTGCAATCCGGAGTCCACCTACCACAACTACGTATCCGCAAACTGCAAGAAGTTCTGCGGCATTTGCAGTCCAGAGGAAAATCCAGGTCGGTACAGGGATGGTAATCATGACACTTTCCATGGGTAAGGGAGCTGGTCAATCTAGCGAATTATCTTCTTAGACGTCTAGATTCGTTGTCGTCTACCAAAATCGAAGGTATAGTTTGTGTTCTATTCCATAAAATTTGACAAATAAATAATAATAATCGATGAGTTTTGCCCTTGAATTTCAGACGCCTATACCCCAACTCAAAATGTTTCAGTTTGTCTAGACACGTTGACGGACCCGGAGGATCCAGACAAAACCCCAGAGGAGGTGTGTGGCTCGATGGAAGAGCAGTGTGAATCTTGGGGACCTCTCGGTATTGTTATGAAGGACAAGTGTAGGGCTACCTGTGGGTCCTGCAGGGTAAGGGGACTCACTTCTCAGTGGAACTTATAAATAATGGGACTCACTTCTCAGTGGAACTTAGAAATAAGGGGACTCACTTCTCATTGGAACTTATAACTGTTCTGATGAGCCAACTTCAAGCACTCGATCAGGATATGATTGCATAGAGACAAGAGATAATGAATCGATGATTTTATCAAAAACTATTAAAAACATTGAGTATGCTGGTCTATGGATAAATCGGAGTCTTATGCAAGTAAAATGTTTTAAATAAAGTGTCTGCTATCCATGATGTATAGATGAGACGCCGTATCTTTATATTTATTTTTATCGTGTTTATCGGAACCCGGAAAATAGTTGTCAAAACTATTTACCATGAAAAAGTTACCTTGGGTTTGTTTGAAGATATCTAGCATGCACAGTTCAACAAATTATATAAAATGGGAAAACTGTCTTACTTTTGTTATGCAATATTTTAATGGGCCACGCGTTGTACTGAAGTACAAATAAGGAAATATAAATACACCAACAAATTCTACTTAGCAAATGAGTTTGAGGCACACGTACCGTTTAAAGGCCATGTTTAACATTTTGTTGCAGATAAATACTTACGAAAACTCTGCCTGATGCTAATAGTGGTATCACCAACGTTTATTTCAACGGACATTTACATCAAGCAGAGATTAGGGGAATTTAAACTCAGCAAGTAAAAACGATTAGCGCTAATAAGTATGGGTGCTAGACAGACAAGACGAGGAGGTTTGTAAACAGAGAAAAAGTGAGGGCTTTTACTGGACTGCTTGTTGATGGTTGAGATCTTATCACAATCATGGGCGAATTAAAGGGGCCCTTTATAAGGCCACGCGATTTGTTCTGATTGATTGAGTATGAGAAACGTTAGATGACTGAAAGGTCTCGATTTCCATGTCCAGTCGTTTTCAATTGAGTATAGTTGAAATCGTGGTCACGAAACTTTCAACATGCGTGTCATTTGAAATGGGCTGCTCGTTTTCGAGAACATTTAATTTGAAAATTGTTTGATTTTTTCCTGTTTCTGATTCTTGAGAATATTACGACTAGCTTTTTAATAGCAAAAATCTGCAGTCTTTCCAAACCGGAAACCACTAGATTAATCAATTTTCATTCCTACAACTCAACAACCAGAGCACTCAATGTGTCTTGATCTTTCACGCCACAAATTAACTGATTTACTGCTATGCCGAATAAATATATATTTGATACAGTGACTGATAGAGGGATCAACTCCGCGCTCCATTGGCTCCAGTGTGAGCGGGTCACGCGTGACCCTGACCTCCTGATTTCAGACTGCGTTATCTCCTGCGGCACACTTCTGTTCCTACTTTGACTAGTTGGTCACCCCAGACTCTGGTTGCTCGGTTGACTGATTGCTCTCAATCGCTGAATGTATGAACTTGCACCATTACTTATAGGGTAATTGCAGCCTCTAATGCATAATGATGGACCTAGCACATTCATGATGAAGTCTAAAACCATTAACCATTTTCGAGTGTACCGAATATTTAGCGCAATATTTACAATTTAGGATTTACGTCGAACTGGAAGATTGTTTTCCTTTGTCCAGACCATCGATTTCAACATTGATCATTAAATTTTCTTTGAATTTGTCACTGCAGAGAACTGCAGTATAAATTAAATTCGCAGTTAGCACATCAAAGGCCTACGCTGATCATCTTATCAATTTGTTGTTAAGCAAGAGGTCCACCTCTGATATCCCACCCCCAGAATGAACGGATCACCAACCACACTACCTAACGGGCTGGTCCTCCGACCGAGTACTCTGAAAGGAGAAGGAATGGGAGTTTGGACCACGAAGACGCTCCCCGCTGGACTGAGAATCGGACCTTTTGAAGGAAAGATTGTTCCTGTGGAGAAGATTGGGCAACTTGCCGACACCAGCTCTATCTGGGAGGTTTGTTCACGCTTTATCTATTTGTTAAATTGGATCTTCTGATCTTTTTTAGATTTAGGATTCATAAAATACTAATTGTCCGGCGTCTGATGGAAGCTGATCGTTTTGAATTAGCCGATAACATTTTGGAGTAGGGATTTTGTTACCAGCGAGCAATAATTTATTAAAATATAGTCTGCATAGACTGCTGAGTAATTTATCGGTGTGCACAATAACTTATCGGCAACTCAATAACAATGAAATTATTCTAACCACCCTATTTCTGTATTGAAGCCTATCAGAAATTCTTAAAGATCTTTCTAGGCTGCATGATTCTTCGCAAAACTTGGTTATACCTCAACCTGCCAAATTTATGTTAAGGCCTATAATCAATCAGTCTTAAACGTTCATTTTGTTTTTATAACATTTTTGCACTACTAAGCAATAAATTCTTAGACCTTTTATCGAAAACTAATAAAATGTAGTTTTATTTACATTGAATTTAACCCAAAAACAATTGCTGCATAAAATTTGTTAAATAAACTTGTCAAAGGTGAAGATTGGGCCATTTGAAAATTGGGTTCAACAAGATAAACGACTAAACGTTGTTCAAAACATTACAGCCATCTTGCCATCCCATCTAAATTTTAAGTCCATTGGCAGGCAATGATAATAAGATAATATAAATGGATATGTAAAGCATAACTATGCGGACGCTAAAAAACTTCCAATACATTTATAACACAGGCTGAGGTATATTAACGTTTTGTAAAGTTGAATCATAAGATTTATCAGCATTCAGCATCTCTGTAATCATAGTTATTTGCTTGCTTTGAGTTTATAGATGAGGTTCAAACAGTCTTAAGTGTCATTGAATTTATTATTTGTATTGTACGATCTTATCTATAGTTCATCTTGAATGTAAGACTGAGTACTGACTGTACAGTTTCTATTTCCAACGGTACCTGCTGATTAATCAGTGATCCGTTACGATCTATGACAAATACCAATTCGTATTATACTATCGAAACAATTGATCATCGTTGCACTTTGTACAAATATAAAAAATGTTAAATTCAATAACGGACCCACAAGTGATCAATTGAAGGTATGTTCTTTATCAGATCTAATAGGTAACTTTATAAACAGGACAATAGGTTCGCAATATTTGTCAGGGCCAATGTAAATGCCAATCGACTCAAGACTTTCGAACAGCAAAATCAAGGATTGATGTAGCAAACGCCGAAAAATATTCGCAAGTGCATTGTGCACTGGCTAGGTGGCATTGTGGTTAGAGCATCCGCCTTCTGCGCAGAAGGTTCAGGGTTCGAATCCCAGTGTCACCTAGTCTAGGGAGTAGCTAAGGATCCATTGGATCTATGCGATCTCCTCAGTCGACTCAGCCGAATGATAGGAAACTTGATTGAGGGTTAAATGAGGAGGGGTACCTGTTAAAAGTTCAAAAAACTTCCTAGGATACCCCTTCAGTGCATACTGTAAACTACTACTACTACTACTACTACTATTAACTATTGTGCATACTATTTGTGCATACTATTAAAATCTGCTGAACCATGACGATATATGGTCATTAAGTTGTAGACCAGTTTAGTCCATTATCATTATCATTATTATGCACATTTTAATTTCAAACATGATCAGTGACACCGGTTATCTTGTAGTTATTAGGAAAATCAATCACAATTTTTATAGTGAACATTTTTTATAGTTAACATAGCCTTCGTAAAGAATAAAGATACACTATTCTATTTAACTGCTGGTGTAAAACTAAAAGAAAGCATGGAAATAAATAATAATGATGGACGATAGGAATTGCAAGCTATTTATTATTCTCTGTAGTTCCTCTATAAACAATTGATAAGATATCGTATATTCATTTTCAAGAGTTTTTCAGAGAATGGTTCAGAAATCTCAGAGCCCATAAGCACTTCTTTGTAAGACTCGTTACACATTATGATGATACAGTTTCTAGTTTTGTAACATATTTACTGATTATGTGTATCTATAAAAAGTTTCCAGCCTTCAGTTTGATCGATCAATTCCTAATTCTTATATTTATTTCAAAATAAAATTCTTTTGATGCTAGACCACTAATAAGAAGCATTGCCAATTTTCGGCATGTGCATCATCAATATCTAGCTGATTCAGCTGAGTACGGTGCACAGGTCGTTGATCGGTATAAGCCTTGCTCTGAGAGGGTTCGGCTAAGCACCTGCAGTAGGAATACCAAATATCAGGAATTAAGGAAGTAAGGAATTGGCTTGACCCACACTTTAATAGAACTGCTGTGACATCTCACCTTACCCTACAACAAAACGTGGGGATGATTTAATTCATACTACAAAACATGGGGATGATTTAATTCAAGACCAACTTTGTGTCATATTTTCAAATTAAACTTGGGGTCAAGGCAATTCGCTTATAACCTGATTTTTGGTATCCAATCTGCAGGTGCTTAGCCAAACGGTCCAAGAGTAAGGTTACTTCTGGTCAACGACCTGTGCACCCATACTCAGAAATAGATAAATCAGTGCTATATTTCTAACTTCAGACCATGTTTATCGCTGCAATATAACCGATCATCGAGAGTGTCTGCCTCTCAGATTCCCAGCCTCTGGTGTTCTGAAGCTGGTTAATTAGCACCATTACCGGGTCCGGGGGACACCATCTTCCAGACCATGCTCAGCCAATGCAGTCATTCTCTAACACCCACCGTAATTAGAGGTCCTTCCTAAAACTTCTCCCCATTCAGCTGGATAGTTAGTGTCCCCCGGGGATTGATTTATCATAATAATCACAACAATTCCTAATCACATAAGGTCTGCCTTTAGAGCCCTAAAATTAGCGAGAACCAGGCTATGGCGACAGAGGCTTGGGTGAAGCGTCCACCGCTTACATTTTAATTTGCGGCTTTTGCTGTCTAACGTCAGGTCTGTAACGAGCCCAAAACTGAATGGAGACCGTCTGGATTGGTTAGACGTAGGGCTAGATCATCCCCGGTCCTAGGGTTCAACCTCGACCTCAACCAATGAGACTCACACGGCTGACATGTCGACCAGTCACGCCACTGGACACCCCGCAGCTTTACCCAGTACAATTTGTCAGGCCGGTAAATGTTAGTGTTCTGGTCTCGTGACAAATGGGCAGCTCTAATTCCATTGTTAACAGGGAAAAACTGAGTACTACGGCTAACAGAGCATAACTAATACGGCTGATCATTATTACAGACACGCGCGTCATAACAACGCTAAAACATGGGCTCGGGCAATTGGAATCAGTCCACTTGTTCGCTCTTGTCAGGTGAATCAAATAAAGGGGAGAGTATTAGGCACCAAACACCTTTAGGCACCTTGCTTCAATCCGTGTAACTTGTTATTTGGGGTTGCTAAATATGCCGTATTAGACGAGGTTAAATATGCCGAATTAGACTTTACGAGAAAAACAAACGGCATTTTAAGACAAAAGTGGTACTATGGAATGTAAGATTTTGACGGTGATCACGTTATTTGAGCCGTTCAATCTGTAAGCAACACCCTCTAATACAGTAGCTTGATTAATAGTTACAACAAGGGCAGTACCCTGTTTATGTTAACGAGGAAATAACATTGTCACTGCTACAAGAACACATTGTTACCACAAGAAGAACACAATGTTAGTGTAACCACAATACCAAGGTACTACTGTAACCACAATAACAACATGTTTTATTATGTAACCACGACAACAACACTCTGTAACCATAACAACCCCTTCAGGTACACGACAGGTTTGGGAAGGTGCTGTTTGCGGTTGACGGGAGGGAGAGTATACACTGGATGCGGTACGTGCGGTACGCCCGGCACGAGGGAGAGAAGAACCTGGTCGCTATCAGTACGAGCGAAACGTCTACTACAAAACTGTAAGTCTTTTCAACATTTTAACATTTTAACATGATTTTAACATGATTTTAACATGATTTTAACATGATTTTAAAATTTTAACATTTTATGACAATCATTTTAATTGGCTCACATTTTAATGTTTTTGGGGACACAAAGTTTTAGCTCTTATGATGTACATGATGCTGACACCATCACTTGGCAGGGAAAGGAAGTGGGACCCAACACTGAGTTGTTGGTATGGTACAGCACTAGCTACGCTCAAACCCTCAAAATACCGTCAGCTGGACAAATCACACCTGACGGTAAGATATATTGTTTATTGTAACTTTAGTTCGTAGAGCAACAACTTACATTGTACATTTTTACATTTAAGGGCCTTTTGTGCTTTCAAAATCCAGATCCATCGCCATATAATATTTTATATTTGTATTCGGCATTACTAGAAACACCTTCCTGGAAATCTAGATTTTACGAATATTTTCCATCAATTGTAGGATAAAAGCACCATTGCAATAAAGAGCCCATCATTTAGTGATAGTGAGTTAACAGTGTTAATAACAGTTAACACCCCTGTAAACATACACTGAAGTGCGGAACACAGACTTGCCAGCCACTAGTGGGTCCCTTAATGGACCGTAATGTGAAAGACACTGCAACTAATGCATGGTCAACACTGTTCTAATTGTGGACTGTTGACCCAGCAGTTCGGAATTAGAGTGCAGGTGGGGTGAGGGGAGGCTCTGTTGGGCTGGATTAATGGATCGATTAGATATGGAGATGGGTGGTATAATTCACAGTTATATTACTGCGTCCGACACCGTTAAATCAAATTTCACGGCTGAAGGGCCGCAAGGAAATATTGTAAGCAAATAGGTCGATTAAATAATGGGAAATTGTTGAGTAGTTATCTCCTTTTACGGTTGACTAAACTTGTTATTCTGTCGGGCAGGACAAAGTTAGACAGGCCAGTAAACTTGCTGTTGGGGGTCGTACAAGTATGAGGTCAGGTAGGGAGGGGATTCTCATTTATGGGATCTAACAAAAAGTTGAGATGCTGTAATATTGCTGTTACGGTGCTACTGCTAGCTTGATCTGAGAGTGATCAGTTGGAAAATGGTTGGAAAAGTGGTACCGTTAAAACGAACAGTGCAGATATCTGATATAATGCACTCTATATCGTATTGAAATTGGCAGATAAGTTACTGATCAGATCAAGTTAACAAGACCATTAACCAACTACTGTTTTCAGACAGCGGAGTGTACACGTGCAGACAGTGCAGCAGGAGTTTCTGCTACCCCCTCTCCCTTATAGCTCACTCCAAATACAGCAACTGCTCACCCAACAAAACCATGTTGTGGTGCGACGAGTGCGGCCGAGTGTTCGCCTGGCAGTTCACTCTCCGAGCGCACATTGCACTCGAACACACGGCTCACAGACCCTACGAGTGCGCTCAGTGTGGGATCAAGTTCACCCTTCCCTCCACGTTACAGGTCAGTTGGATTGTTAGGTGTTAAACACAGTGTGATAGTGTGTGTTAGATACAAGGTCCGTCGCGCGGTTAGACTTATACCGTATACGGTTAGAGGTTCAATAATGTAACTTAAGTCTGATCTAATTTCTATAATTTTATGTGGGTGCAAGAGTTTTACCTCGACAAATTTCGGGGGTAAAACTATAAAAGGAAGGTCCCAAAGAGTAAACCCCTCTATGATAAATAATAACCCGTATTTTAGGCTCACACTCGGAGTAAACACAGCCTGACGGAGAAGACCTACAGATGTACTGTGTGTGGCAAAACCTTCCCTCAGAGCTCCCAGCTCCGACGACATCTTCGGACTCACACTGGTAAGTGATCATGAGACTGGAATTGTCATGTTTAATTTAAAATTGCTAAAAAAGAAGAGTTTAAGTTAAATCCCAGCAGTTATACGCAAAATTCTGAACAGTAAAGTCTTTAAATCATTTCAATAATAACTCGAACTCTTACCACTACCAGCCTAAAATTTACACTTAATTTCCTCGTGAAAACAAAGGCATATTTCATCACAGTTTCCTTATAATTTCGATATCTGTGATATTTTTTTAGCTGTGATATATTATTAGCTTCAATGTAAGAATAACTTTTTTTAAAACATGCTTTTTGCAGGAGGTAAGCCGTACAAATGTGAAGAATGCGGAAAATGTTTTGCCGACAGCACCAACCTCCGCTCTCACAACCGCATTCACACAGGTACTACCCAACGATTGAAAGTGAACTTAGATCTAGATATTGACTTCCAAATTCAATGACTTTTTAAAACTTTCAAGATACATTCCTGTTCATATCTCCAGAAAATTATGAAATGCCCCTTTAACCCCAAAAATTTTTCCAGGAGAACGTCCGTTCAAGTGCGAGCACTGTTCACGAAGTTTTGCGGAGGGTAGTACCCTCAAGTCCCACATCCGTACCCACACAGGAGAAAAACCCTTCAAGTGTCAGCATTGTGGCAAAGCGTTCGCTCATCTCTCCTCACACCGTAAACACACCCTCACCCACGAACGACAGAAACGGAGGGAGTCAGGTTACCATGGCAACGACGCTGCAGTCCATGGCAACGTTGAGAATATTGTGGCCCAATATCAGCTCCCCCTGCAACAAGCTAGGAAAGTACCCATCACTCTGATATTTTGAGGAACAGTGGACTTATAAGAATAATAGGAATAGCTGAGTACTGATTAGATACCAGATAGGCAAAAGACTTAATAGGTTATTAGGACAAAACTTCATTAAATTTAATGATTATTATGTAGATTTTAGTACAAACTCTGGTAATCAATGCAAGTAAAGTAATAATAAACATAAATGGCGACTTATATTTTGTTCAGTTTTTTATTAATTTTCTTACAATTTATCAGGATTACCGCAAGAAATATATACAATCATGTTTTTTGTAAATTTAGGTTTAGCATATTTTGATTTCAATACAAAATGATGTACAGTGTGATTATTGTATAAAATTGAGCCAGCAAAGCCCTGGAGAATCCATTATCTGTCATGGATATTCACACACTGTGTGTATACTGTCAATAACCTTGGTGCAAATTTGATGATAGCATGCTAGACCTGAGCGTGACTAACGACCCCAGCTGCCTAAAAATAGTACCTCAAACAATAAGATCCTGGAGATCGTTCCTCATTAACACAATACATTCCTCAATTACAGTCAACATGGTAATTACAGCGCTCAGATAACATCGAGGTGAACATCCACAGTAGAATATGTGGAATGTGTCTCGATCAATGACAAAGGAAGAAACCGATGAAGGAAGATAGAAGAAGAGCTGATAGGGTAAACCTGGAAGAAGAAGAATCTTTATCTGAGACTGCCTCCTCTTTGGGGTCTATTTCTTCTTCTGTTTCCTTGTCTTTAGTATCATCTGGGGAGGTTATACTATTACAGAAGTTGGTACTATTAGGTGTAAATATTGATGAGTGGCAATAATTGATAGGTCGCCTTGGATGAGCGTGTTGAATAATGGAAATAAAGTCACAAATATACATAGAGTGTTATCACGAGGGGGGGGGGGGGGGGGTATCAATTATTGTTATTATGAACCAACCTGAGTCATCATCAACATCATAGTTCTTATTATCGTCTCCTTCGCTGGAGTCTGGGCTGTTGAACATAAGTGATTATGAAACTAAGAGTATAGCAAACTAGCAGTTCATTAATCATTAGCTGTTGAATATAAGTGATTATGAAACTAAGAGTATAGCAAACTAGCAGTTCATTAATCGAAACTATTGTTGTTCAGCCTACATAACAAAGTTAGAATAATGACTAGTGACACTCACCTCTTCCAGCTACTGTTACAGTCGTTATCAGGACAACACTGGATGTCTTTAGTTGGGTCTGTTATCCGGCATCCCGCTTGTTCGCACGTGCAACTGTTAGGATCTGCTATAGCGCAACCTGAACACCACAACATGATCAATCTTCTGTTTGATCAGATCACATGTACCAATATGCTAGCAATCAGGTAGTAAAACGAAAGTGAAAGTGAAAGTAGTACCTGACTGATAGTAAAGGGTACCGTCACCAAGTTTCTGTTTAGAAACGTAACAAGCGTTCTCACTCGGTCTTGTGCATTCCTGTAATGAGGTGGCTTTGTTGAAAACGAACTTGTCGTCTATTTCATTTTTACTAAACACAAATGATAACATCACAATGATGGCTAGTGGCTACTGGCTAGGGAGATCAATTAGAGATCAACGCCAAATTGCAGAAACTAAATTTATGACAAACGTAATTAATGTAAAATACGAGTTTAACTTAGAGCTCCTTAGTCCTTACGTTAATTGAGGAACATTTGCCGTCAAGTGCGAACTGACTGCAACTGTAGCATGTGACACTGCTGGCAACTGAAATAGATGTGAATTCATGTAGTGATCTGACTGATTCTAGTTTTTATTGCATTTAAAGTTACAACTGTTTCATACAATTGACATGAAAACTGGCAGAAAGGTGAGACAAATGTCAAAAGAAGAACAGTTTATATCGATAAGAAATATAAATTATAATAAAAAGCCTAAAGTTACAGTGTCTGACCTGGGATAAGATATGCGAGAGCTAAAATGGCGTATCGGAACATCGCTTCAACTGTTATACACCTGTTTACTGTTTAAGAACATGGTAAGTTGGCATTATCTAACTTTATCTTTCACTAATGTATGATTTCAAATGCTCTATATAATAGTATATAGATATTAAAGTAGTGTTCTTTGTGAATGTGATCAGGTGTGTCCCTCCCTGTGTGCTCTGTTTATTGCACAATCTACTGATGTATCACAATGCTGGCAAGCATGACCGTGCCTCTTATATTCACAATACTATTTACCCTCTTTACTATTTACCCCCTTTACTATTTACCCCCTTTACTATTTACCCCCTTTACTATTTACCCCCTTTACTATTTACCCCCTTTACTATTTACCCCCTTTACTATTTACCCCCTTTACTATTTACCCCCTTTACTATTTAACCCCTTTACTATTTACCCCCTTTACTAGTATACCCCTTTATTGTTTTTCAAGCATTAAGACTCATCGAAAGTAGTTCAGCAGGTATATTTAAGTTCAAAACATTCTAATTTAATTTTAAATATGACAGGAATAAGAAATAGTTATGTGAAGGTTTTTGAGAAATTTGCGCAAAATACGCGCCAGCATGTTATACGAAATTCGGTAAAAAACCCAAAATCGCCATATTCAGGTGCTTTAAAAACCATGTTAAAATTGTGTTAGAGATCTGAAATTTTGCAGGGCGTCTAGACGTTGACCAAATCGACTGTAAAAAAAGTTTCAAGTTTCAGGAGCATCGGGAAATGGGTTTTCTAGAACCCCTGTTTTACAACAGATTGTCGGGACATATACATACAGATATACATACATATATATTCAGGGATAGACGCTTTGCCAGTAAATTATAGCCTGTATTTAAGTGTCCATAGATTCAAAAGTATAAAAGATATAGCCATTTCCGACCACAGGTCTTGCGAATAATTATTTACACTTTAGTTTACATTGTATAAAAAAATTATTTGACGTCATAAACACCCCTTGATGACGTCATCAAGTTAACCGTTTTAAAAACTTGATTTTTGACAAAGTAATCACTTTTAAAATCGATTTTACACCATTAAGAATTAATTTTATTCAAGATTTGAGGACATATTGAAGTTAGATAATTGTTTAAGCATTCTGAAAATCTACCGGAAAGTTTTTCTACCTTGCTCCTTCATAAAGATATTCGTCATTGAAGTTTGTGCTTTTTTGAAGAATTATTTTATAAAAACGTCAATTTTGCGATTTAGTATTCTCTGGTGTTGGGCCATGCCTTGGGTTGTGGAGCTCAGTTCTGCTTCCTATAGGTATACATTGTGCATTAGGCTAGTTTTAAAGTTGAAAATCGAAAAGTTGCACACGTGGGGACACGCCCAAATTGATAGAAAATTGCTAAAATCACTGAAAATTGCTGTTTTCGTCATTTTCTGTCAACTATAGAGTGCCGTTGTGATTACAGTTCTTTTTGAAATACATTGAAACTTTGCAAGCTTATCAAACTATATATAAAACACCAACATGAAAAAATTTACGGCGATTCAGTATTGGATGCGCACGCAACGACCGCTCAAAGTTTGCACGTGCGAAAGGTGAGAATTTTGCTCATTCGTGATTTCCAACAAATTCTGCTTTGCCACGACAGTTTAATGTCATTATATATGAATTTAATGCCAACTTGAATGAGTATAAAGTGGCATATTCAGTCAGTGATCGACTGATATGCTTACCTAAACACAAGAAAATGTTTTTAAAGGAAAAATTTCGAAATCGTTGAAACTTCTTCCTTATTGATGAAGATATCAGTTTATATTTTGTATTTCAACTATATAAAATTAAAGTACCCTGACATTATAATCAAAAATAGATGATATTTGACCAAAACCCATAATCATGGGTAGAGTGGACCGCTGCCAGTGTCTCTCTTTCCCAAACAAAAGGAAATGATATTAATTTGATTGACCGTTCTCAAATGCAAAATGATACCGAGAATGAAATCGGTCGCTCGCTTTTCCCATTCATTTACAATTGTAATACATTAAAAAGAACTACCCGAAGGCAGCTGTACTCGGCAATAAAGTTTCAATAAACTTCAGCTAATTCAATAAGTAATAACTACCACCCTTACCCCGAAATACTAGGTATCGACCCGAACGCAACCCAAAGAGATTTTTACAGCATCTGATTGATGTAATCAATCGAAACTTATTACAATTCGTAAGCCGTGAATGAATGGGAAAAGCGAGCGACCGATTTCATTCTCGGTATCATTTTGCATTTGAGAACGGTCAATCAAATTAATATCATTTCCTTTTGTTTGGGAAAGAGAGACACTGGCAGCGGTCCACTCTACCCATGATTATGGGTTTTGGTCAAATACTATTATACATTGTACAATCTACTGATGTATACTATTGATTAATAGGTTTCCTAGAACAATACACCTACTATCAAAGTGGAAGATACTGAACTGATATGAAACTAGGTACTGATCATTGTGATTTCCGGTCAGGAGGCAAAGCGGGGGAGGGGGGGGGGGGGTGATAAAATAGGAAAATTACATATTATATGAAAATTAGAAATTTAATTTTAAATATACGTCGGACATTATTTTAACACGAATTAATTCATGTATACGGTGGAAGCTTAGAGCTCATTTACTGCGTAGGAATTGGATCGAATAGCAACTAATATGTAACAGAAAACGGTTAAAAACCATCAGGGGTCGTTCACATACTACGTAATCAGCCGAGTGGGGGGGGGGGGGGGGTTCCAAATGATTACACTAGTGTAATTTGACACAATAGCTATGTGTAAAACTGATTACGAAGGGGGAGGGGGGGGGGGGGGGTTAAAAATTGTCCAAAAATTGATTATGTAATATGTAAACGACCCCTTACTTATAATCAGCTTTTGAACAAAAGAATAAAATTTGCAAACATTCAATGCTCATAATTAAATTTTATGTGAAGAAATGACCGTTAAAAAAAAAGTCCCGCCAAAACACTTGATGGCTGTCGCTACCTACCCCCAACAGAGTCGCTCACAATGCATGTTTACCAACATAATGCTGTACGCTATCTGATCAGGATGATATTGTCGGATTTGTCGGCCATGAAATTAAAAAAGCTGTACAAATACTGTACAAATGCCGTGAGGTTGCCTAGTCTTTGGACCTAATCTGTTATTTGAAACCCTTGCATTAGGTCCTGATCATTTTAACCGGGGGACGCCGGACGGTGAGCGCTGGCTATCTGCCCTATGATGGTCAAAAGTTTCAATATTTCCCATCTTTGTAGTATTAGAATGTACTAATACTCAATACTGTGCAATATCAGAGGGCAACGATAATTTTGTCAAATTTGATGGGAAAGAAAATGAAAAGCTTTATAAGACTTTGTAGCTATTCTTATAATATATAGATTATATTTGCTGACCGATACAACGCGAGCAGGAAGCAATGCAATAGCAGTAAATAATAAATAATAAAATGTTCGAGCCAATTTTAATAACCGTTAAGATAACAAACAATAAAGTCATGGTATAATTTCAACAATATAATTGATTTTAACAATGTAATTGCGGTTTTGTTCGTAAATAGCTCTATAACATTAACAATACATCAAGTTTACTGTGTCTGTTGGCAGGGAAATATTCTACTCAGTTTTACCGATTATGCGATCAGCTCTACCAGACGAAATGTCGCAGCTACACACTCACTATACGTCTTGCTGACTGCGCACCAGTTATAGTCTCAAGAATATGAGCACAGGCTGTAATGAGTCACGTATCACTGCTACTATTACAATCCGCTTACCATCATTGCAACTACAATCTGCCTGTATCAACTGCATATACGATCAGCACGACACGAGAATACGTGAAACGAAATATAGAAATGACTGATGAGTGACTAAGTGAGGCAATTATATTTAACGGAACAGAGCAGAAATGTAAATGGTAGGTTGACGGTAGTCATTACGTAGATGAGAAACTATACTGACTACATACTGACTACTGACTACGGAGCTTAATATTTCGGCTATGCTAGTGCACTGAAATGAATACCAACATTTAATTATGCTGTGTGAGGAGAAGTATGAAATTTGGCAACTGTTATGATATTACGATAGTTACAGTGTCAGATAATCATTATTCATCCAACCCTGACAATAGGGTTCCTGGCACAGTGCCAGTGTCACCATATCAAGAGAACAATGACCTTGAACAATACAGTGATTTACTGTAGTTGCTGAATATTCAGATACTGGTAGCCCCGGCTCCATTGTCAGGATATCAATCTTGATACCAGGGCAACTGACAAGGGAGGGCCGGGGGGGGGGGGGGGTCACTGCAATGACAATACTAAGCACTGTTGTCCTGGTAACCAACGTGATCAGCGTCTCCATGACAACACAACTCGCTGCGGTAACAGAACATTACTCCAACTGTTACATATAGTGGAGCAAGGCCAAGATGCTCGGAGATAGAATAAACATGAATACAAATGACGCTTTATGCTGTTGTTATACGGACCTTTTAACGAGAGCTGTAAAGTATATGTAATTATGCAGTTATCGCTTGTACTTAGCCTTCCATTAACTTTAGCGTTGGGAGTCAGGAGTGTAACTTGTAATGGACGGTATTGACAACCTTGTACAAGTTAAACGAAGTAACAAACTGTATCAGGTCCAGGTATTTGTTGCTGTTCATGAAATGCGACAAACCACTGCCAAGTCAGAAGCAAAACAAGCTACATTTGATATCAAAATGTGGTTCCGGAATATCTTGATGTTCAGAGAGAGCTCATTGTTCTACATATAATAAACTAAACCCACAAACCGGACTCGGCACTGTATCTCGAGTGTGCGTTTAATTGGATGAACTGATGCTTGGCTTGGAAATGAAGCAATAACGTGACAAAATAACCGCTGGTTGTGCTTGTTATGACCGCTCATAGTTTAAAGGCTGGGCTCGAGCATGGATCACTACTCACTAGGTACAACACTACAATTCGTTAGTAATATCAGTACGATATAATTTATTAATGATATAATTTGTGCAGGGTAGAATTAACAGGCAGGACGTCATCAAGTGATACGAATAAAATGGATTCATAAAACATATCATAAATAAGACAGAAAAAATGTAAAGCTGGCGAGAAAGCCACTGAATTAAAGAGCCTAAAAATCTTAAAATCAAGATTTTTGTTCTAGACAAATTCGTGTTGAAAATGATCCTTTTACCAAACTAAAAGACTGAAGCACAGCCGTTAACAGATTAAGTACGATCGCTCTAACCATATTTTGATAGAGCAATAAAATTCGTCCTCGCTCTCCAATAGAAAATTAAAAATAAATTATCTCGTGGCCGCCTCACTCCATTCCATTCTCCTTTTTATATTCCTTGCCGATCAACATTATAATGTTCTGCAGATTGTCGGTAAGAGTCAAGTTCTTAGTATTCTGAATATGTTGAAAGTATGGTACACTTTGTCGAGCAAGCAGTCTCAGACTTCTCCACACAAACGCTGTCTCGTTTGTGAGGTAGTATTCTTTTTCCACCCCCGAGTCTGGCTCCAACTGCTCTATCGAGTCTTCGAAGAACTTGAACGTCTGAAGAATAAGGGGTTTAATAATATCATCATTTTGAACAGACCTCTCTGTATTCTTTTTTACTCTACTTTAACGGTGGCCTGGGATGTTAGTACTTTCAAAACTAAACTAAAAAAAAACACTTATGGGGAAAAATCACTGAACCGGATAAACAAACAGTAAAATTAAAAAATAAAAGTGGCCCCGCCATCAATCAGTTGTTAAATAGTACTTAATGAATTAAATTAAAGCTAGTTTACAAATTTAAGTACGTATTTCCATAGTTATCAAGTTACTTATTCTTGTTTATCTAGACGTGACGTTAGTGGGTCTTGGGGCAGAAATATTACAAGTAGTGGGTCTCTTCGTTATACTTTTATTGTTGATGCAATATGGCAAAAAGTTTTCGATTTATTTATCATACTTGCTGTATTGTAAAAGTAACATTTCAAATCAGTATATTTGTACGTCAGCGATACTTATTCATGCAGAAAAGAAGAAGAAACTAATAAATATCTAGAAGATCACTACTAATAAATATAATCTCACCTCTGGGGTAAACTTTCGGTTAGAATCTTGGCAAGCTGCCGTGTTATCCGGGCAGATGTTCCACAGATCAGTTAGGGTTTGGTTACACAAATCAAACTTGTCACTGGACAGGTCCATCGCTTTCACACTCCGCTTTAAGTTCTTCTGCTTAGCTTGCAACGTCTGTAACAAACACGAGATATGGACATATGAACCGAAACTTTTTTAAATTTGCATTTATCCATCCTTAAATGTACATAAAGCCAAAATTGAGAGTTTGCAAATTAAACTGAACATAAACTATACATCGACGACATCAAAAGCATCACCTATGTAGCCCGAACACTGATATTACCTTATCTGGCAATTTAGAAAGAGCGGGGCATCCTTCGTTCTTCCATTTGCTCCACTTTTCTTCGTACTTCAGAATTGACTTAATATGTTGAACAAATTTATCACCTTCTGGCGGTGTGTCAGACAGCACCGAGTATATCTTGTTTGTGGTATCTCGTATCCACAACTTACGAGGCTCAGATAAGACCTGTAAAAAGCGATTTGATTTGCCCGCTATCTTCTCGTTAAATCCATAGCTGCGCGTTATGGCACAACGTGCAATATATTTGCGCACAATATCATAAAAATTATTACCCGCGCGTTACATACAATATCTTTTGAAGAACCTTTCAGTGGAGTGGGACATTGCCATAGTGGTAGAGGAAGATTCTTACCAGTTTGTTTGGCTTGAACTTGACATCTCCTGTAAGATACTGAAACAGGGTCAGGATCTGAACTAAAATGTGGCGTCTGAAGTTAGAATCTGATATTTGAAGGGTAAGGAGGCGCTCGCTCGTTAGAAATTTGGCGAAGTAGGCTTCTTCGTTAGAAACTGGGCAACTTCCTTCGTGCTTGTAGTTCTCGAATATTCTACAGATTTCATTAACTGTATCTGAAAACAACATAGGTTAAGCATGTTTCAGATTATATATAATTAAAGCAGCGGATTTTTTAGACTGCAAAACTTTACCAGTTAACTATTGAAGTTTTATTTTGACTAAACCGGAAATCCGTTATTTTTACTAGCCAAGAACGATGCCTTTTATAGCAGAGTACGTTTTAAATATGTTTTTTTCATTGTCAGGCGAATCTTAATATGACTGGAATAAAATAATAACTTTAATTTCAGCAGCTTGCATTGTGGTGTGATTACTTCTTTTAGGGTCATCGCACAGGTGAAAGGTGACTTGTTTGTACATACTTTTTTGCGTTAATATTATGCATTTAATACTTTGACTGTACTACGCTTTCTCTTATTTTATCTACGTTACTCTTAGTATTACAATATCAAAACCCTATGAATATCACAGTGACAGTTTTACTATTGACAACTATAAATTTGCCATTTTGAAAGAATGTAACCCCAGGGGATTAGGGAGAAATTTAGGTATATTGAGAAGTATAGAACTAATTGCTTGGGTTTAAATAGGTGCAAAGTTGAAAGATAAGGTTCTTAGTTTTTAATTCACTTTTTGAAGCTTTATTCTTTTTGTAGTTCATTTCCATTTACCACGTGTATTTTATTTAGGTAATTTAATTCTCGATTTTTTGAGGCATTTTAGATCCTCGTTTGTTTAGTACTAATTAAACTAACCAACTTAATTCCATTGTAATGATGTAATCTTACGAAGTATACACTACATTTGCGTGTTTCACTGTCTAGCCCACCAACCATAATATCAAAACCCGACTCGAAATTGTTTACCTTCCATTTTCTTCCAATGAGCATCGTTCGATATCTGATTAGGGTTTCTGAAGTAGTCCTGTATCGACCATAACGTTTGGTAGAACAGGAACGTTACCTACGAAGAGATCAGGTTATTGATGTGGAATGTTGCTGAGGACAGAATGATTAGCAAACTCGGCTTGAAGACGGCAGAATCGTTTATCAATTAGCTACAGATATGATAACTGTGGAATTGAAAGCCTACAAAAAGCAAAATTCCATTTCTAGAAAAATAAGAGCCGCTGACCTCCTTAGAATCGGTATCCATCGGTGTTTCGCTATTTTCTGATGAGGTGTTATATTCGGTCATATTTTCTAGGTTGAACTGTGACTGTAGGTTTAGCCCTGACCTGAAAAGTTAGTAGTTAAGTAAAGAGTCTTTCAACACAATACATTAGAACTCCGTAGAAATAAGAACTCACCTTTAATTACGACGAACAAATCATAAAATAGAGTTCCAAACCTCCGGCTATTTTAAATAAGATAGTTCTCCTGACCGAGTTAAAGCCAAGGATGGGAATTAAACGTGGGGGGGGGGGGGGGGGCACTACACGTGGAGAGAGACAGTAGGGTGATGACAGACACACTGACACGCTGACGTCTGACACACTACCACGGTATATTAATTAAGTTCTGTTTTTGTGTTCATAATCACGTGAGTGTCTTGTGATACCATCATTTCCTTCTATCATCATTTTCTTCTATCAGGACGGATATTTTCGTTGAATTGACGAGTTTTCCGTAAACTTGTAACTTGAAGCCCTCCTTTGGGTTAGAAGCAATTATGTTATAAGAGATAAATGAGACAGATAATTAATGCATTCGCGCGAAAATCAACCGTCAAATAGGAACCTCCCGAACCAGTCACGTGTCTCCTTGTGATCTAAACATATCTATCATCACGTTTTCGCGAACCAACAAGGGTGTAACTTAATAAAGTCAGCGTTTACATTATAGTACACTTTCCTTGCATGCGCACACGACTGATTTTACCGTTTCTTAATTTGATTTAATGTAATCCTTCAGTGCAGACGTGCGGTGTTTTTCGCTTGACTTATCTTGCCAGTTACTGTTGTCTGCATTCCAGAGCCCGGACTGTAATTTTGGTGTGTTTCTCTTATTGTCTGGTCTTTAAACGGCTATGATAATATATCAACAGAAACTTCAAACGAAGCCAGTCTGGCTGAGTTAGCTGACTACCAAGTACTATTTACTTATTTAATATAGACATACCACGCTTCAACTTTATGTAATTTGACAATGCGTATTACCAATGTGACGCGAGTGAATTTGAAGTAAATTATCATTGTATAAGGGTTGTCAAATTTAAACCTAGCAAGTCAAGTTTGAATATTCGTAATTTATACACATTAATTATATCAGTTATAGGTGGCATTCAATGTAGAGTTTAACTAGAAACAGACTTTTACCGGGAACGGAATTTTGAAAATGTCGGGGTGAGCCCGGACGCAAGCTACCATAATACAAAAGAAAAAACACTTAGTTTGCTAACCCTTTTCCTTGACTCTTTTATGTCTACGGCACAAGAGTCATGGATCGGGAGGGAGGGGGGAGAGACTTTTTCTATGGAAAAAATGGAAAAACTCTCGGGTAATTCACGATTTTATGCCATTTTATGCTATGAATTTTGATAATCGAATTACGTATGTGGCAGCTTATTTGTACACTCTAACATTTTTATTTTCGCATACCACGCTACTCAAAGCTCATACCAGGCTACATGAGACTCATACCATGACCAGGCTACTCCAGACACATACCTGGCTACTAGAGGCCAAGATCAATTCGACTATTTTGCAATTCAAATAACACTAAATTTCACTTTGACAGGTGATACAATTTAGAAATTTCATTAATTTTTAGGAAAAATTATCGAGGAATAGGTCCCGAAAAATATTTTCGGCTCATAATGATCAGAGTAACATGAACACTGGAGAAAAGTGGTTTCCAGGAAAAATTTTTAACAATTTTGACTTATAAAAGTTTCAATCCGAGTCATCCTCGATACGTACCTCTAAAAGTAGACTCCCCGCTTCCGAACTCGTACTGCATAGAAGAGGCCTGCCCTTCGAGATCGGGGGGAAGCCTCGACTCCTAGATCGAAATCGGGATAGAAAACATGAAAACTTATAAATCTCGGAAATATTTGTACAGGATTGTTTTCAGCTCGGAAAGGCAAAACGTTTAGTACCAAAATTATGATATTTGAAAAATAAATTATTGAGGGTCGAAATACGATAAAAGGGCAAAATTTGTCTTTTTTGTTCGAAATGATATTTAGATTCTAGATAATTATTGTATTTAAATTATTTTGTCCTTTAAGGTCACAATTTTGTAAAAAATTAGGTTTGTTCAATTTTTAAGTTTTTAAACGGCATAAAATGGAGAATTTTTCTATGGAGAAAATGAAAAAACCCTTGGGTAATTCTCCATTTTATGCCATTTTATCTTAAATATTCTGATTTTAAGATAGCAGATAGACCAAATATTTGTTAAATATACGATTGCGAATCAATCTTAGGCATTATGTTAACCATATACCACAGAAACTATTGTGAATGTGATCGTTCGTAAATTATTTCAGTAAATTAAATAAATATATATTTATAAAACATTACAATATAATGATGACACAATGCTACATTTAATTCAGATACACTATGGGAAGATGCTGTAATGAGAAGAAAGTCAACATCGTACTCTAAAAACAGCTACAAGGATTAAAATAACACTTTTGGCACTCAAATGGATCATGACATTTAGGTGATAAATTTAGCACTTCGCTGTTCACTACCAATGAGATTTCTTTGTTGTGTTGTTCTGCTGGCAGCTCCAGTTAACATTTTTGCATTTTGCAATCTCAAGAACTGTTATAACGTTTCATCGAGTGAACTTGGATCGGATGGTTTTGAACTGGGTGCAATAGAGAGTTTTGATCTTAAAACGGTCAACACGGTGGTTCTAAATGGACTCGTAGAAGAAAATTGCAGTCTTTCATTGAAGTGCACCTCAAATAGAGAAAACGATGCCACCAAGTTCCGGATGGAATTTGTGAAAATGCAGGCGAAATTGCTGCTGACACATACTCCTCACCAGGATGTCAAACCATTAACTCTGGTCAATTCAACAATAACTGACCTAATATCATCATATGATGCAGTGATGAGTATAGGAATACAGTTTCGTTTGGAAGATACCGTGTTTGGTTATTATTATACGGACGATTATACAAAAAGGGAGTCTAATTATGTAAAATCACAATCCAAAGACGAGTTCCTTACGCACTTTGTGGAGCCATCGAAAAGGTTGTTAGAAGGAAAAGGGAGCAAATTGCTTGCAGAGGAAATAACCAGAGACTTATCAGCTACAGGGTGCGGAGATAAACTTACGTTGTCATTGTGTCCATGTTCTGAACCAGTGATAACAGAACTAGAATGGAACAATGAAACTAGTGTTCTGAAATGCAGTGCAGTAAGTATAGAAGGGAATGAGAATATGGCTATAACGTGGACAGAGAATGGTAACCCTGTCCAGGATAACAGAACAGAGACATCTTCTATTGGAGATTTGATGAAGACGTCCATGTTACACAACGTTACGTCAACAGAAGAGCTAAAAGACTACACCTGCACAGTCACATTAGGTTCAGGCAGTGACACTTTGAATGTTACACGCACTAAAAGGATACCAGCACTTGCAAAGGAGGAGGAATTTATAGTTGCTGGCGAAGAAGATGCCATTAAAGATAAAGATAAAGAAGACAGTTCACAAGCTTTCCTAACGATCATAATCCTTGTAATTGTAGGAGGATTGGTGGTCATTACCCTAATCTGTGTCGGTATTCTAAAGTTAGTCAGACATTATTTTAGAAAGGAACCTAAACCTTTAGTGAATGATGCAGTTGAGCTAACTTCAGATGTCTCCAGTGAAGAGCAGCCAATAGTTCCAGTGGTCCTGCCAGACAGTGAGCCTGAGCTAGAAATCGAGAGTAACTACCATGATTTGGAGGAGTTACTAAATGCGGTAAAGTCGAGAGAACCCGGGTGTTATGAAGATGATAACGTGCCTGTTTACGCACAAGTGACAAGGTCAGGCAAGCAACTTGATGACAAGGACAACATATACAACAAACTGGATCCTAATCGGATGACAGTCAACAGTGGAGATCCGGACCGCTGGGGTACCTACAACCCTGGTGAGGCAGGACCCAGCACCATGGGGGCACCACCTAACAGGGTTATTCCGCAGCCCCCTACTAGCAGTGCTCCTCCAGTTCCCGGTACCACGGGACACAACTTCTCTCCTGATCCGGAGGAGGGACTCTACGAGATGCAGACTCTCAAGCTCTAGAGAAAATACCTGGGTGCCAGCTAGTTTTACTAGTCTCAACAAATTATGGCTGAAATATCTTGAATTATTGTCACCGCTGTGATAAAATTGAGGAAAAAAAGACAACATAGTCAGCTGCTGATTCTGCAAGGTTATTTTTCACGCGTGATGCTTCACAGAATAGATAGAAGAAATTTTGAAGCGTATTTTTGCATATTAAATTTGGAATGAAGCGAAGTTGATGTTAGTTTTTTAAAGTGTTAAAAAAATACAGAAACTAGGAGAAATATAATTTACATTAGCATGCGTTGACTTTTGTATTCATGTTATTTGAAAATTGATATTTGATATTATTATATTATAGGCGTGTGTGACGGTGGGGAAGTGGCACAACTTTGTTTTGGAAACGAGTCAGCGATTCTGCAATTTGATTGGTTAAAATGATTGTCAGTTGTGTCAACATATTTGCGCCACTTCTCCGCCATGGTCCACCTTTTTTAAGTTGTGATACGTGGAACAAGAATTTCTGAATTTGTATCACCATTGTGTATCATTGCATTTCAAAGAATTTGTAACTATGGCTGAACAATCGCTGATTACATTACATATTTGTATTCTTGATAAGAAAGTGAAATTGTTTTCGTACAAAATTTTAGTAATTGAACAAGTTGAAGTTTGGATTTTAATGATACAATTACCTAGATATCCAGTTTTTGTCTATTTTCTTTTATCAAGATTAGTGCCAATATTTTTAGCATGAATAAATTTGATTATAAAATCTGGCTAAACTTGAAGCCGACAGATAAGTGTCACAAAATGAATGGTCAACTGTTTTAGTGATCAGGATTCAGGAGGTAGTTTATGAAATAAAACATGTTTTGAATCGTTTTACCTCTAAACGTAGTTACCAATACTCAAATGATGTTTTTACCTAAACAGACTATGCCATGATCGAGATAGAAAAGGTTAAATATACAATATTAAGTTTAATGATTTAATGATTTTTATGGCAAAATCATTTAATATTTGATATTTATTGTTCTGTTCTTTCTGCTATTTTAAGCTATTTTAAGCTATTTTCCCAATTTCCATTAAAAAAATTCAGCCCTGAATATCCATAATACACATTCAATTGGTTGGCATTCATAATCAATGTAGAGTTTAGCTAGAAACAGACTTTGACCGGGAACGGAATTTTGAAAATGTCGGGGTGAGCCCGGACGCAAGCTACCATAATACAAAAGAAAAAACACTTAGTTTGCTAACCCTTGTCCTTGACTCTTTTTACTTTTTGAATACATCGGTTTAAACTAAAACCTTCTACACAGAACTAGAAGTTGACTTATTTGCGGAAAATCACAGTGACAAAAAAATGATAATTGTGAATTTTGCTGACGTAGCAAATTTTGGAAAATTCTCTGGAATGATTTCTGTCCCGAAAATGTCACGCTTTTTTCAAATTATTTCCGAAAAAGACTTTAATTTTGACTCTTTGTGCGAGACCTAGACAAGGGGAATGTCAGCACTATGATCGAGCTAATGGAAATTGTTGGATCAAGCTCTGGCTGACATTTTAATATACAAAAATAAAAAATAATCACCTTTCTGAGATGGGGAATATTTTGGCCAACATGATCTGAATACGTCCGCAGAAGAGTGTGTTTATTGACTTTGAGCAGCGTCTAATCAAGTCATTGCACAGACGTAGCACGACGTTACGATTAGCTGGGGCTTCGCTCGCAAACAGCACGCTCTTCTCTTCTACGTAACTGAAAAATAGACAATTTAGTTCCTGTTAAAATATCAGATTACTCACGTGACTGCTCACGTGACTACTCACGTGACTACTCAAAGTTAGAATCTTTTCAACTCACTCGTCACAAACACTGATTGTCAACGTATATAATTAAAGCGCTCAAACAAGTGAAGTATATACTATCAATAAGCCAAATAGCATATATATTTAAATGATCCTAAATTTAAAGTTGAGTAGTGACGTTACCAGGCCATCATTTTGAAGTTCCTAGCTGAAAGCGTTCTCACTTTATGGTGACAATAGTGAAAAAGAGGGAGTTGCGTGCCACACCCACTGTAATTAATTAAATTTAACTTTCAGGAAATCTAAGTTGACCCATATCTATAATCTCTGAAATTTCTGTGCAATTCTAAGAAGAATTACGTGAGTTATTGAAGGGTTGCGCGATGGCAGTTACTTCTGGGCCACCCTGTATATAATTGTAGTGTACTGTTCAATATACATGATAGCCATTAGTCATCTATAGTGATCTACTGACTACTCTATGTTGTTTTCGACTTTCGTTGGTCGCTCGTTATGATGTATTTTAGCTTGTACAGCCATTCAGAACACTATACATTCCAAGTGAGCGCGAGGATATTCTTACCAGTAAGTAACAATATAGCATGAGAAGGCATGTGATAAATGTATAATACTGTGGAGCCTTACTAGTCGCTTACAGTCGCCGGATAAACACGGCTGTGTAAATTTTAAACTACACTTCAGTAGTTTAGGGAGCACAGTGATAAACAGTTATGATCTGATTTTACGTAATTGCTGGTATATATATATATATATAGTAACCGTTATATTGCAGGTAGTGAGTTTACTTGTTGCCATGAAGACTGAATCGAAGTAGCTGACTGCTCCTTCCAGCCCTCGAGGCTTCCCTTACTTTGAACCATGGCCTGTGCGGTTCGGGTAACTTTTGTTTGAATAGAAGTATTTTCTATATTGAAGTAGTAGATTTCTTGTTCCTCATAGCTTAGTTTTATTATTATCCTTATTTAAATTGTAGGGATCCGATGTACTTGTATATTTATATTCGATAAATACTATGGGCTCGATGTTCTGATTATAGGATAACGGCCAGGTAGCGCAGTTGGTTAATCATCGGCTTTGTAATCGTGAGGTTGCGAGTTCGAATCCAACTGCCTGCCTAGTCGTGGGGTGAGCGTCGTTGACGCTCTGCTAAGGATCCCGAGTGGTCTATGTAGCCCCACGGTTCACTCAGCCGAATGCTCGAGAAATTGGGTGTGAGGGTTAAATGAGGAGCTGTGCTTGATCAACACAGCGAAGCCTCGGGCGAAGAAAGTGTGGCATAGTGCCTTAACCGTCGCTGGCCTTAGGAAGTTAGGAACGATCCTTCGGCTTCTTGTAAAGCTCTTCCTTGAAAGTGCTGGTTTACATTGTAATGCAGGTAATGCCGAAGTAAAATAACAAAGGTGGTCGACTCATTCGATGGCCTTGTTGCGTCGCAACGAATCCTCATAAGATAAGATAAGATAAGATATTGTTAAATATACGATTGCGGATCATAAGTATTATGTTGACCATAAACCACAGAAACTATTGTAATCGTTCGTAATTTAGTTTAGTAAAATACAATAAACATTTCTTTTAAAAAATTACATACGTAATGAGAAAAAATCAACTACTCTAATAAAGATAGAAACTATTGTGATCGTTCGTAAATTATTTTAGTAAAGTAAATAAATATCAATTTATAAAACATTACATAATGATTACACAATGATACATTTAATTCAGATACACTATAGGAAGATGCTGTAATGAGAAGAAAGTCAACATCCGACTCTAAAAACAGCTAGAATTAAAACAACACTTTTGGAAGTCAAATGGATCACGACATTTAGGTGATAAATTTAGCACTTCGCTGTTCACTAGCAATGAGATTTCTTTGTTGTGTTGTTCTGCTGGCAGCTCCAGTTAACATTTTTGCATTTTGCAATCTCAAGAACTGTTATAACATTTCATCGAGTGAACTTGGATCGGGTGGTTTTGAACTGGGTGCAATAGATAGTTTTGATCTTAAAACGGTCAACACGGTGGTTCTAAATGGACTCGTAGAAGAAAATTGCAGTCTTTCATTGAAGTGCACCTCAAATATGAAAAACGATGCCACCAATTTCCGGATGGAATTTATGAAAATGCAGGCGAAATTGCTGCTGACACATACTCCTCACCAGGATGTCAAACCATTAACTCTGGTCAATTCAACAATCACAGACCTAATATCACCATATGATGCAGTGATGACTATAGGAATACAGTTTCGTTTGGAAGATACCGTGTTTGCTTATTATTATAGGGACAATTATGAGAAAAGGGAGTCTAATTATGTAAAATTACAACAAGACGACGATTTCATTACGCAGTTTGTGGAGCCATCGAAAAGGTTATTACAAGGAAAATGGAGCAAATTGCTTGCAGAGGAAATAATCAGAGACTTATCAGCTACAGGGTGCGGAGATAAACTTACGTTGTCATTGTGTCCCTGTTCTGAACCAGTGATAACAGAACTAGAATGGAACAATGAAACTAGTGTTCTGAAATGTAGTGCAGTGAGTATAGAAGGGAATGAGAATATGGCTATAACGTGGACAGAGAATGGTAACCCTGTCCAGGATAACAGAACAAACACATATAATATTACTGGACAGTTGATGAAAACGTCGATGTTACACAACGTGACCTCTAGAAAAGAATCAGGTAATTACACGTGCACAGTATCATTAACATCAGACAGTGAAATTAATGTTACACGCACTAAAAGGATACCCGCACTAGCTACAGAAGAGAACCCAACTGATGGTAAAGAAGATGCCGTTAAAGATAAAGAAGACGGTTCACAAGCTTTACTTACGATCATGATCCTTGTAATTGTAGGAGGATTGGCGGTCATTACCCTGATCTGTGTTGGCATTCTAACTTTGGTCAGACGATATTGTAACGGGGATCCTAAACCTTTAGTGAATGATGCAGTTGAGCCAACTTCAGATGTTTCCAGTGAAGAGCAGCCAATAATTCCAGCGGTTCTGCCGGACATGGACAGTGAGCCTGAGCTAGAAATCGAGAGTAACTGCCATGATTTGGAGGGGTTACTAAATGCGGTGGATTCGAGAGAACCCGGGTCGTATGAAGATGATTTAAACGTGCCTGTTTACGCACAAGTGGCAAGGCCAGGCAAGAAACGTGATGATGAAGATAACATATACAACAAACTGGATCCTAAACTAATGACAGTGAACAGAGGGGATCCGGACCGCTGGGGTACCTACAGACCTGGTGAGGCAGGACCCAGCACCATGGGGGCACCACCTAACAGGGTTATTAGGCCTCCTACTAGCAGTGCTCCTCCAGTTCCTGACTCCTCCAACACCATGGGACACAACTTCTCTCCTGATCCGGAGGAGGGACTCTACGAGATGCAGACTCTCAAGCTCTAGAGAAGATACCTGGCCTGGGTGCCAGCTAGCTTTACTAGTCTCAACAAATTATGGCTGAAATATCTTGAATTATTGTCACCGCTGTGATAAAATTGGGGAAAAAAGAAAAAACGGTCAGATGCTGATTCTGCAAGGTTATTTTTCACGCGTGATGCTTCACAGAATAGATAAAAGAAATTTTGACGAAATATTTTTGCACATTTTAAATGAAGCGAAGTTGCTGTTAGTTTTTTTTAAAGTATTAAAAAATGCAGAAACTAGGAGATAAAAATAATTAAGTTCATTTGCATAAGTTGACTTTTGTATTCATGTTATTTGAAAATTAATATTTGATAGTGATATTACGATATATAGGCGTGTGTGACGGTGGGGAAGTGGCACAACGTTTTTGAACACGTGTCAGCGATTATGCAATTTGATTGGTTAAAATTATTGTCAGCCGTGTAAACATATCTGCGCCACTTCTCCACGATGGTTTATCTTTTTGAAGTTGTGATACGTGGAACAAGATTTTCTGAATTCGTATCACCATGGTATATCATGTTGTATATGCATTATGCATTTGCAAAGATTTTATAACTATGGCTGAAACGCTGATTATAATTACGGTTTTGTATTCTTGCATTCGTGCAATTGTCTTCGCACAAGTTGATGTTTGGATTTTAGTTATAACTTACCTAGATATCCAGTTTTTATATCAAGATTGATATTTGGTGCCAATATTTTTAACATGAATTAATTTGATTTTCTGTTTTTTAACATATTATGAAGGTTTAATTGTCTGAGTTCATGAATCAGCGTGGCTGAACTTGGAGCAGACAGAAAATTTAAAACAGTTTGACTGGACCACATCAGGACATGAATGATGGACTGTTTTAGTGATCAGGAGGTAGTTTTTATAGAATAAAAGATTTTTTAATCGTTTGTATTATATATAATATACTATTATATATAGTCTGATATTACGTCAGCTAGTATGATATTACGTCAGCTACTTAGACTTGATCCAACCCCTTTACTTAAGTTTTATTTCACCTCTAAACGTAGTTACCAATACCCAAACGATGTTTTTGACCAATGCCATGTTTGACAATGTTTTTTAACAATCAATTGTTTCAATTTTTTTCTCTTATAAAAATGTGTTAATTTTAAAGAATCCATTAATTGTTTCACTTTGTCAATGATTGAAATTCATTCTTCCAAAAACTCACGCACCTGAATATTTCTTGGCACCGGAGGAGGGACTCTACGAGATGCAGACTCTCAAGCTCTAGAGAAGATACCTGGGTGCCAGCTAGCTTTACTAGTCTCAGCAAATTATTGAGGGAAAAAAGACAAAATGGTCAGCTGCTGATTCTGCAAGGTTATTTACCACGCGTGATACTTCACTTTTGAGGCGTATTTTTGCATATTAAATTTGGAATGAAGCGAAGTTGATGTTAGTTTTTTAAAGTGTTAAAAAATACAGAAACTAGTGGAAATATAGTTTACATTAGCATGCGTT